TGATGTTGATGCATTATATAAAACTAATGGAGTCAACTTTTACATTTTAGAATGGGATGCCTCGGACTGTCCATAATTTAGGGGGTGCCTCGGGACTGTCCATAATTTAAGGGGTGCCTCGGGACTGTCCATAATTTAGGGGGTGCCTTGACTGGAAAAAGGTTGGGAAACACTGCTCTAGATCGGATTTTCTCAATCTTTTCAACACAGAGGACTCCTTGAAATAACTTTTCCGTCTCAAGGAACCCCGGCTAAAAATGACTATATCTGCAACCAGAGGCATCCCTAGGGTTGGTGTCACCAGGTGAGGTAACATGTAGTGTCTCCCCTCCAGAGAGGAAGGAGCGGTGCCGGTGTAGTGGTAAAATGAGTATCCCGTTGTGACGGGAGTCACTTTGGGTGGGGGTCCCATGGAACCAGCTCACTTTGGAGAGGTGGGGAGACCCCTGTCTCAGCTCCCCATATCCCTATTATGTGTAAGTCACCCTGTGCCTGTTAGGGGTACAGGATGATCTGTCCTAATATTGGGGTGGGTGGTTGTTGATTGTTTAATGCCATGTGGCTGCATCCCATTGTTCTATTGTGTGTCTTGCTTGGGAGCAAACTATTATGGGATGTATGTGTTTGTGTATTGGCTTGGTGGGGGGGTGCCTCCAGCAGCCTCCCTCCAGCAGGACTGTCTGTTGGTGTGTCTCTTGTTACTAAAGGTAGATTGCCCCGCCCTGTGTCATTATGCAGGGAGGGGGGGTTGTTCCCTTGAATGTATATATCTTGTATCTGTGTTAAAATAATGTAGTATATTTCCTGGTTTACTTCAAGACTGGTGTCATCTAGTCTTGTATGGTCAGCGGTGGTGTCTGTGGTCGTTGTTCGGACAGGGAAGCGGTATCCTAATGGAAGTACCCAAGCGCAGTCTTGGAACAGTTCCTGTCAGGAATGGACTTGCCAATAATGGTGGGACTCACCTGCCTTGTGGGCTGCATTACCAGGGCTGGCCAGCGGGTGCTCTAAGCAATCAGAGACTCAACCCTGCAGTCAGCCAAAACACCTGAGGCTGATTGCAGGTGTATTTAAGGGATGGCCAGACCTGCAGTCTGTGCCTTGGTGTGTGTTTTTCCATGGGCCCCTGTATCTTGTTACCTGCGTTCCTGTTCCTGTCTGACTGATTTGTTGCCGACCTCTGCTGACTTCTCCTGTTTGATCCCTGGCTTGTGACCCCGACCATTCTCTGCCTGACCCCCTGTACCTACCTGCCCGTTAGTTGCTGTACCCGGCTCGTGACCTGACTACTCTCTGCCTGCTCCTCCTGTTCCTTCCTGCCCGATTGTTATTGACCCGGCCTGCCTGACTACGCTTGCATTGTATGTATTGTTATCTGTGGGTGGTTTGGTTGGGTTCGATTGCACTGTGTTATGTTTTTAGTATTGCACTGCGTTTATGTATTGTTAGTATTAATAAATTATATTGTTTATAACATATCTGAAGCCTGCGTTTCCCTGCGTCAGTTCACATACCTCTGGTCATACTCGGAGCCCTGACAGTTCCGTTACACCCATGAAGATATGTATCCCCTGAAGCAACTGCGCATGTGCTGGTTTTGGGCCGAAGAAGCCGATCTCCGACTTTAGCACAGAGCTGCCACAGTTAACCCCTTACAGGCTTCAAACCACTGAAGCTGATCCCGCGGATCACTATGGGTTGCAAGATCAACCTATACAGGGTTAACTGATCTTGCAACCCATAGTGATCTACGGGAACAGCTTCAGCGGTTTCCATCCTGTAAGGGGTTAACTGTGGCAGCTCTGTGCTAAAGTCGGAGATCGGCTTCTTCGGCCCGAAACCGGCACATAAGCAGTTGCTTCAGGGGATACATATGCTCATTTTACCGCTACACCGGGGGCGCTGTCATTGTGCCGGGAATCCGGGATCATCCCAATAACTGTCCAGGACCTTCACAGAGCCCAGAAGCTCCTCTGGCATCCTGCTCCTGCACCCCCTGTGATGATGTCACCCGGGGCGGCCTGCACCCCCCCCCCCCCCACACACCCCTAGGGATGCCACTGGCTACAACTCATGATCAGGGGCGGACTGACAACTCATGGGGCCCCCCCCCGGGCAATAGGGGATCATGGGGCCCCTGTGTCCTTGCCCAAACTTAAAAAAGCCTATGAAAAAGGTACCAGGGGCATCTCATGGGACCCCCTACTGACCCCAGGGGATCATGGGGCCCCTGTGTCCTTGCCCATACTCAAAAAAGCCTATGAAAAAGGTACCAGGGGCATCTCATGGGGCCCCCTACTGACCCCGGGCCCTCGGGCAGTGCCCGAGTTTCCAAATGGTCAGTCCACCCCTGCTCATGATACATTAGTGCAATGACCAGTGGTTGGAACTTTTGTTAGGTCAATAGCTTGTTTTTATCGTATACTTCCAAAGATGGATTAAAGCTTTGGGGTGAGTGTTGAGGAGCACCTAGTAGAAATGTTCATGTCACTTCAGGAATTTTAGCCCAAATTGTTTGACCTACAGCAGGGTTTCTCAACATTGGAGGTCATTGGGAAGAATTCCCCCCTTATAGCTAGACCAATGGAGTCAGTGGGAACTTATCTCGGGGAAAGAAATTGCTCAAGGAACCCCTAGCTACCTCCGGAGGAACCCTGGTTGAGGCTGCTCTAGGTCAAACAATGATGTTGCCACCCCCATGCTTCACGTGGTGTTCTTTGGAACTCAACATTCTCTCTCCTCCAAACACGACGAGTTGTGTTTCTACCAAACAGTTCTATTTTGGTTTCATCTGACCATATGACATTCTCCCAATCCTCTTCTGGATCATCCAAATGCTCTCTAGCAAACAGCCCGGACATGTACTGGCTTAAGCAGGGGGACACGTCTGGCACTGCAGGATCTGAGTCCCTGGCGGCGTAGTGTGTTACTGATGGTAGCCTTTGTTACGTTGGTCCCAGCTCTCTGCAGGGGGCATTCACTAGGTCCCCCCGTGTGGTCCTGGGATTTTTGCTCACCGTTCTTGTGATCATTTTGACCCCAAGGGGTTGAGATCTTGCGTGGAGCCCCAGATCGAGGGAGATTATCAGTGGTCTTGTATGTCTTCCATTTTCTTTACCTTTTGTTTCCAAGGGTGGGAGAGGTCTGAGGTGTGAATCGTCATTAACATACCTTTTGTTTCCAAGGGTGGGAGAGGTCTGAGGTGTGAATTGGTCATTAACATAACCTTTTTTGTTTCCAAGGGTGGGAGAGGTCTGAGGTGTGAATTAGTCATTAACATATCTTTTGTTTCCAAGGATGGGGAGGTCTGAGGTGTGAATTGGTCATTAACATATCTTTTGTTTCCAAGGGTGGGAGAGGTCTGAGATGTGAATTGCGTATTAACATATCTTTTGTTTCCAAGGGTGGGAGAGGTCTGAGGTGTGAATTGGTCATTACAATGTGTGACAAGCTTGGGAGGAACATCCTGTGTTCAGTGTTTTGTCCATTTGAGTACCTTGAAAACGCTTTGCATGCATTTTTCATGATGAAAAAAAGGCTCTGGACAGCATCGGGAACTGGAAGAGTAAGAAAAAAATTCAAACGCTTATAAACGCAATTTGCCGCATTTAACCGCGTTTAGCCACGTTTTGCGTTTGAAACGCTGATAAAATTGACTGCTGAATGCAAGTTTGGTGCATTCAAAAAAACAACTGTAAACTCAACTGCCTGTAAACGACTGTGTACATGGACACATAGGAGAACATTAGGGAGAGTTCAGGGGCTGCTGAAAATAAATGCAGAACAGCTCCTGAACGTGAGTTTATCAGCCGCAGTGTACATGGGCCCTAAGAGTTGGGAATGGCTTTTATAGGCACCACTACGACTCAGCTAAAATGTTACTTACACAAGAGGGAGTTCAAAACACAAACTTCCATAACATTGATTGGCCCAATGCAATATCTGCGCTGCTGGCCCAAGACAAATCACGTCTTTTTATCACCACGTGAGCGGTGCCAGCCTCCAGGAAAATAACTTGTATATCTGAATTGGAGGCAAACAAAGACATCCATTCTTATCTGCTTGGAATGCAACTTCAGGGTGCCAATGGGCTCCGACTTGGCTTCAGTTTCCCATCGTGCGGTTAGAAGCACAATGCACATTTCTGCATGAATCACCATGTGGTGGAGGTTGTGGCTTTCAAGCAGTTTTATCGTCTTTGTTTTGTTCAAGTCATATAGGTTCGTGCTTTCAAAACATTGATATGTAGAGTCTTAATTATTATTATACAGGATTTATATAGCACCAACAGTTCGCTCAGCGCTGTACATTATAGTAGGGGGACAGTACATGAGACAGTACAGTAACAATACAATACACGAGGGGTTCGAGGGCCCTGCTCCTTGGAGCTTACAATCTAGGAGGGAGGGGATAGTGGTACAGGAGTAAATAGCTGTGGGGGATGGAGTGGTTGGAAGAGTGGAGGAGTTCAGTATTAGCTGAGGGCGGGGTAGGCTTCCCTGAAGAGGTGGGTTTTCAGAGTGCGCCTAAAGGTGAGGAGAGTAGGTGATAGTCTGATGGATTGGGGCAGGGAGTTCCAGAGGATGTGGGAAGCCCTGGAGAAGTCCTGGAGATGAGCATGGGAGGAAGAGACAAGGGAGCTAGAGAGTAGGAGGTCTTGTGAGGAGCGGAGAGTACGGTTTGGGTGATATTTGGAGACAAGATCGGTGATGTAATATGGGGCAGTGTTATGAACGGATTTATATACGTCAGTGTTAGCATTTTGAATTTTATTCGTTGGGCAATTGAGAGCCAGTGGAGGGATTGGCAGAGGGGGGTAGAGGACACTGAGTGGAGGCCAGTGGAGGGGTTGGCAGAGAGGGGTGGAGGACACTGAGTGGAGGCCAGTGGAGGGATTGGAAGAGAAGGGTAGAGGAAACTGAGTGGAGGCCAGTGGAGGGATTGGCAGAGGGGAGTGGAGGACACTGAGTGGAGGCCACTGGAGGGATTGGCAGAGAAGGGTGGAGGACACTGAGTGGAGGCCAGTGAAGGGATTGGCAGAGAAGGGTGGAGGACACTGAGTGGAGGCCAGTGGAGGGATTGGCAGAGAGGGGTGGAGGACATTGAGTGGAGGCCAGTGGAGGGATTGGAAGAGAGGGGTGGAGGACACTGAGTGGATGCCAGTGGAGGGATTGGCAGAGAAGGGTGGAGGACACTGAGTGGAGGTCAGTGGAGGGATAGGCAGAGGGGGGTGGCGGATACAGAGCGGTTAGTAAGGTGGATGAGTCTGGCCGCAGCATTCATGATAGACTGAAGTGAGGATAGCCTGCGGTGAGGTAAGCCGGTGAGGCGGAGAGAGTTACAGTAATCGAGTCGTGATATAATGAGGGAATGAATGAGTTGCTTAGTGGTTTCCGTGGTTAGGAATGGACGTATCTTGGGGATGTTATGGAGGTGAAGTCTACAAGATTATGACAGCGATTGGATTTGGGGCTGAAAGGACAGATGGGAGTCTAGGATGACAGCTAGTACCCTGGCATGAGGGGTGGGGCTGCTGGCGGCGTTGTTGATCTTGATGGAGAAGTCGGGGGGGGGGGGGGGGGGCACGGGCTGGGGAGGGGAATACTAGGAGCTCAGTTTTGGAAAGGTTGAGTTTGAGGAAGTGGAGTGACATCCAATCCGATATGTCGCTCAGTAGGCGGGTGATTCGGGTGGAGACTGAAGGGGTGATGTGGGGGGTTGAGAGATAGATTTGTGTGTCGTCGGCATAGAGGTTGTAGTTGAAGCCGTGAGAGTGTATGAGTTGGCCAAGGGAGGAGGTGTAGATGGAGAAGAGAAGGGGCCCAAGGACAGAGCCTTGAGGGACCCCAACAGAGGGGGGGAGGTGTAGATGGAGAAGGGAAGAGTCTTAATGAATAATAACGTGTTAGCAATATGTGGTATTGTACAGCATCCGACCCACTCCCAGCCCTCCAATGTATTGCTTTCAAGTTTATCTGAGGGTTACGTAGGCCATACATGGTTCAAATTCCAAACGATTTTTCGTCAGAAAATCGGAAATGTCATTCGCTCGGTAATCCGATGTCACCATCATTGATTTCGAAAATCGGCCAACCGAGTCATAAAGCTCACCCCATAGAACAGGCGAAACTTCTGTTCCCTCCAGGTCACGGCTCATGGCGCCTATTCTTTTTGGAAAAAACTATCGTACGATTTGACCATCATTGAGTCGAAAATCATATTTAATGAATTTTCCAACATGCTCGATCACCGAAAAGGGGAGTAACCACGAAAATCACCCGGTGCCATTGACTCACTAACAGAGCGAAAATCGGCCGATTATTCTTAGGTCCGATTTTTGGACGAAAAATCGGTCGATTTTCAACCCATGTATGGCCGGCATTAGGATCTAGGCCACACAAGACAACATTTACCGTTGCTCAGTTCCAGGACAAGGTCATCCAGCACCCAGGGCAAAGATGGCAAACTGCCCCTCCCCCCCCCTTCCCAATTCATGATGTGCAAATTTATAGGATCCTATGCTGAGCAGTTACTTGCTTGTCAAAGTCACTATGCAGCTCAGTTTTAACACTTGGCACATGCTTGTGTTGATGGTTCCCCACTCCTGGTTCTCTTGTGGACTACATAGTATGATATAAAAACAGCATGTCACCATAAACACAAAGATTTAGTTTCAAACCAATAAGATGGCCGCCACATTCCAGTGCGCGATGATGGCATACGTTCTGGCTCCACCCTTCTGTATCGGTATCGGCTATTGTATTGGTTAGTGATGTCATCTGAGAGCATAGATAACCTCTTCCCGCTGGCCCGAATGTATATATGCAGCCTCTCGGCGGGGAAAGGGGAGGGCCTTAATGCCGAGAGGCCGCATATATGTGTACCAGAATGTAAACAATCCTGTGATGAGAGCGCACTCCGTATAGTTGACGGCGGGTAATGGAAAGCTCCCAATCGCTACTTCGGGAGCTTTCCGATCATGTGACTGCTGTGACAGCCAATCACGATAGTCACATGATAAGAAAGCCCACCTCTCGGTGCTTTGAGTGTCTTAAATGGCCGGGAGGCATCGGTGGGAAGGAGTTAAAGAAGAATTCCAAGTATGGAATTTTCTGTATAGTTTTATTGCTCTAATTTGCACCTATGTACACTCACCGGCCACTTTATTAGGTCCACCTCACTAGGGCTAAGAAAATCTCCCCCCACACCCTGTCACCACCACCAACCACCACCACCCTGAACCGTTGATACAAGGCAGGATGGATCCACCACACCATGACACCACCAGCCTGAACCATTGATACAAGGCAGGATGGATCCTCCACACCATGACACCACCAGCCTGAACCATTGATACAAGGCAGGATGGATCCAGCACACCATGACACCACCACCAGCCTGAACCATTGATACAAGGCAGGAGGGATCCACCACACCATGACACCACCACCATCAGCCTGAACTGTTGATACAAGGCAGGATGGATCCACCACACCATGA